AGGAGCTGCCCCTGCAGCGCTGCGCGTGCCCCCGTGCCCTCTCAGCTCGGGGTGGGATGGCTGGATCCCGGGGTGGGATGGCTGGATCCCACGCTGCACCCACAGCAGCCCCCGTGCTCTGTGCGAGCACTCCAAGGGAGGAAGCCTTTGCTCCCAGACCCTGCGGAGAACCAGGGAGAGGGTTGATTGCTAGCTGTAACGGCTCCCTTTTTTCACAGTGTGCGTGAGCTGAGACTATAGCGAAGTGCAGGGACTTGATCGACGTGTGCAGAAAAAGAGACGCTTGAGCAAACGGACTGGGAGGAGGTGCAGATGGCAGCAGAGTCAGAAAAACGATACAGTCACCCCGGAACTGGGATTCCTTTGGGTCTGAGCACTGCTTGTTAATCGGGCAGGGAAGAAGAGGCCACTTGGCCTCTGTAATTCCTTATTGTGTGCAAGCACAGGTCCAGGGCGTGGTAATTCGTGCGTGGACATACTTTGGTGTGTAGACTTACTTCTGAATTAATAGTACATCTGGAAGAAAAGCAGGAAAAGGAAACTGCCGAGTAGGTGCAGCTTAGAAATAAATGGTGAAAAAGTAGTGAAACTAGAATTGCTGAAAAAAAAATAGTCTGCGTGAACAGCAGCCACCGGGGCTTCATAGGTACAGGGGAACTGTGTGCCCAGGGTGAATTCTGGCAGGAACTTGTATAAAGTGCCTCCAGCCTGGAATCTGTGTGAAAATTGTATTTTAAAGGGCTGAGGTTTGTCTCCTTCAGCAGAAAGTGCTGTTCTACAGCACATATCTCTGTCTTGAAGAAAGTAAATTTTTATTAGACAGCAAGTGTTCAGGTCAGCTGGTGTAGGGCCAGAAAACATACTTAAATGCTCGGAAAAATGGAAGCAATTGGCTCATTAGAGCCTGTCAGTAAGTAAATGCTTCTCATGTCAAGTGTGGCTCTTTGGTTTTTAAATTTTTGGCTAGGCTTTTTACTTTCTCAGACTAGGTACATAATTTTTCTTACCTTATGGTTGGCTGTACCGTGTGTATGACTTGCATCTTGTTGTGGCATTTGTCTGAAGGAAGCGGTGTTCTTAAATTGCGTTGTCTGGTGAAATGCTGTTTTTCGACAGCCACTTCACCCTTACGCTGATACAGGGTGGACTTTCTGTTCAATGACAGGTCATGCTTATGGGTAATTTTTGAGTACGCAGGGAAAAAAACCCTGCAGCTGCACTGTCAGGAAGTAAAATGTACACCCTGATGCTAAGGTCCTCAGGTTGTTTCTTAGATCCTGACTCCAGGTCTGTCCTCCTCGGTGCCTGCTAGTTCCCAGGTGTTTAGAGGGTTATATTTCTCTAAACTGTTCTAGGGTTACTTGTAATGAGACACCATGATTTTGTCTTTTACACTGTTGGGGAAGGGCTGGGAGAAATTCTGCTAAAGCCTTCTACAGGTCTGTGGGAGCTACAGTCCAGTTCACAAGAAGGACCTGGAATCTAAGAGGTTCTTCTGCTCTGGATCCTCCTCCCATTAACATTTCTGCCATGGAGTACTAACCTAGAGCCGAGGAATGGAGCTGCCTGCCTGGCTGTTAAAAGCACATGGAAGTATTTGAGGAGTCTGGTCTGCCCTTCCAAGGGGTGAGCAAGGTTTTGGCAAAAGCACTGTCCACTGGGCTTCTTTTCCATTGTGAAACTGTAAGGATCCGACTAACGATTTCCTTCTTCCACCTGGTGCCACTTTAGCATTAATTTTATCCCCAGGGGGTTATCCCCCAGTGCACCCTAATAACCAGCTCTTCTGCCTCCGATCAAGCGCTGCAGGTTGGCTGTGAAGCCAAGTTGTGATCTGTGTCGGAGAAGTGAGGATGCTTGGTGTCTCGCTGGCCCCATGGCAGCACCATCCCTGCTCTGTGGGCAGATTTGGGTTTGGTCCTAAGCGCCTCAGGACCTCGTTTTAGGGACTGGGATGCTTGTTTTAGGGATGCTACTGGGCATCCCCAAAAATCTCACATGAAAGGCATCTCGGTGGATGGCAGCAGTTGGATGTAGGTCCTCTGTCCCCACCGGGGCCGGGAAGTCCTTGGGAGCTGGGAATGCTGAGAGGCTGCCCTGGGTGGTGGGGTGCTGGGTTGTGGGGCTGCTGAGCTGCAGTGGGGAGTGCTTTAAGCACACTGACTCACAGGAGTTGGTGCCTGACGTTGCCATAGGAATCCGATCAGCTGCTGGGGTGGGGAGCCCTTGTCCCTTGGCTTCGCTGCTGCATGGTTCCAGCATGAGCTCACAGTGCGAGGGAACCTGATGTCTTGCTCCTCATCCCTTCAAGATCAGGGCAGGCCAGACAGCTCTCATGGCCCTCTCCAGGGGCAGGGAATAATTGTGCTTGGGTCTCTCCTTGGCTGCAGTGGTCAGACCCTGTGCGTTTGCTGCGCCATCCTGGTGATCTGCTGCCAGTATATGTCGTTCATGTTTGTGAAGCTTGTTTCATTTGCTTAGCAATAGATCCCAGCCCTGTGGGAGCGACAGAGGTGAAAGCTGGTTGTAAACTGGTGAGCAGCAGATGAGGGGGGACAGGAAGTAATAGATCCAGAGGGAGGGGGTGAACGCTGAATATCCCAATTTCCTGGGGTACTGGGTTTGTGTGGTGGGGTTTTGGTAGTGGGGGTGGGGCTACAAGGGTGGCTCCTGTGGGAAACTGCTAGAAGCTTCCCTGGCTCCGAGTCAGACCCACCTCTGGCCACATCCGAGCCAGTTAGTGATGGTGGCAGCGCCTCTGGAGTAATGTATTTAAGAGGGGGAAAAAATCTGCTGGTGAAACTGCAGCAGAGAGGGGAGTGGGATGTGAGAGAGACAGCCAGGCAGACACTGAGGTCAGTGCAGGAAGGCGGGGAGGAGGTAGCCAGAGCAGACGTTCCCCTGCAG